GCACGAAAAATTGCCATTTCCAATGACTACGAGGTAGAGGCCATTCGGGTTAGAGGAAAACGTTGGGTAGTTTCCCAAAATAATATTTCAGGCGACAGTAGGATCCCCTTTAAGCTGCCCTTCATATCAAATGAAGTAAGTCACGCCATTAAAAAGTGCTTAAGAAAAAGTGGTCTTGAAAATTATGTAACGATTATTGACATCCCACCCAATACCCTACGCCACCAGTTAGTTCGAAACCGTCTCTATGATCGTTTGTGCAGCTCAGAAAACTGTATGGTCTGTCCTAACGGGAGAGACGGGGATTGCATGAGTCCAGGTATAATATACTTGATCTCATGTAAAGCATGCGGCGAGGAATATATCGGGGAAACTGGTAGACCACTTTGTGTCCGCATAAAAGAACATCTAGATGGAAAAGCTAAAATCCGTTTAAACACCCCTCTAGGTACGCATAGGGCACAAAAGCACAACGACGATAATTTTGAAGTGAATGTGCGGATCCTAGCGCAGGAATCAAAAACATCAACGTGCAAAACTCTTGAGGCGTTTTGGATAAATTTCAAAAATCCAAAGATGAACCGGAAGGACGAATGCCTCACTATCACGCGTGACCTGGCGCCCTATTTCAAAATGATATTTTGACCCCAGGGCGTGTCTTGCTCGCGACTCCACGAAAACAACGCGTGGGCCAGTCCCGCAACATCACGGTGAGTGGCCCTTCTGTTCAATACGGCGTCTATTTGAAAGTTTGGTCCCCATTAATGCTTTAACCTTTCTTTTCCACCGAATAATAAAAATATTCTATTATTAAATACGTCCAGGCTCTGAGGAAGGCGAAATCGCCGAAACGTCAGCCATCGATCAATAACATCAAAAACAACGACAACGAAGATCTGTACCAATCTCGTGTCAGCTTAAGAAGATCAGTTTATAAGATCACATAAATAAATATATCAACTATCTATGCCGAGGTTTATAGAAAGTCGGTCTTTCGAATATGTCTTACTTCTTCTCCAGGAGAACACGAGAAATCACCTGCAAAGTATACCCCACGCTCATGACA